GTATATGTGCATATACATATATGTATATACATGTATGCATAAATGCAAAACAAAAATGTGTGTACTTACATACAAAACTCTTTGTGCGCAAAATAAATACAAGAACGCAACATTCAGGCTTCATAAATGAATTGCTTGGTCGCCGCCAAACCAATGCATTGGCCCTAGCCACTATCCCCAGCTCGGCCAATCGACCAGGCGCCCCCACACGCCTCTCCTCCATCAATTGAATAAGAGACCGGACAAATTGAATGATTGAATCCAATCGCATGCAAATGCGATTGAAGTGCTGCAACAATTTCCGCTCTCTCCTCTCTCTGTCTATCTCTCTCTCTCTCTCTCTCTCTCTCTCTCCCACTCTCCCTCTGTCAATCTCTCTGGAGCTTTGTAGATGTCCACTTAGCTTCTGACAGATTTTTATATGAATTTTTACATTGATAAAACGGAGACTTTAACACGCTCAGAAAACGTTCGGTTTTTTTTTGTCGTATCGAAATTGAATTCCCGTCCAGTCCAGTCGATAGAATCACAATTAGCACTGAGCCTCTTGTTGACACAATTGTTTGCTCAAATCATCCAAAAATCAAGTAACTTGTGTACATTTGCCAGCTGCTCTGGCCATGTATTTATATTAGTGTATATCATTATTTACGCATCCGACCATGTATTTCTATTAAAGCTGCTCATTATTTAATCAACTGTTTAAACAGCCAACACTCATGTTCATTCATACAGGCCAACTCACGTGGCCATTGACCATTTGGCCTGCTGTGCCAGCAATAAGCTCACTCACATTTTTTTTTTTTTGTTTTAATATAGATATCCTGCTATGTAAGCCACGTTAACCAATTTCCTCTTACTCCTGTTACTTGATATACATATGTACGTATATGTATATATATTTATATGCATGCAAATATGTCTCACTGAACGCTCTTTGATTTTATGATTGAGCAGAACTCTTTATATTTATATGTATGCAATACGTGTTATTTTATTTCATATTTTCTATCTCTCTCTCAGTCTCTATGTCTCTCTGGATTTTATTTTATTTTCCACATTTTTAGCCCAGAGCGCTTTTCAGTGCGATACGGCCTGTGTGTTGTTATTCAATGCAGCGGTTTGCAATCATATACACTATTCTGGAGAGTAGTAGAAATTATTGCAAAGTTGTAAAATATATTAAAATTAATTTATATCAAATACAATATGCAAAAAAAAAAAAAAAAAAAAAAAAAAAAAAAAAAAAAAAAAAAATTAAAAATTTAAAAAAAAAAAAAAAAAAAAAAAAAAAAAAAAAAACAATGAAATAAAAAAATATATAAAAAAATTAATTAAGAAAAATATTAAAAAATAGTAATAAATAATACCTATTTTATTTATTATTAATATTTTTATTTAAAAAAAAGAGAGAAAAACAGAAATAAATAAAATAAAAATCATAACAAAAAATAATTTTTTTTTCAAATAATTATATATATAAAAACAAAAATAAAAAATACAATTAAAATACAAAAAATTAAATATATGTACTAAAAATTATAGTTAATTTATTTTAATTGAACTAAAATTTATTTTTTGATCAAATATATAAATATATAAATATTCGAATCGAGCTAAATTTCATTTTCACCATTTTTGAATTTTTATTATAGTTTTTAAAATTTTATCTCTTTATATTTATTTATTCTTTTTTTTTTTTTTCTTTGAGCTTATTATCTATGACTCAACAACCTTAGATAAAATTTATGAACATCTGTCCATTAGATATAAGCAACTTCTCTTGTCAACCGAATCCAAGTGTGATATTTAATAAGAGTTCTTCAAGTCAGCTCTTGGCATATAAGCACAGTCTTAGTCCGAGTCATTTCTGCTAACACTCTAATATTAAAAGCTGTTTTAGATTTGGCAATGCACAAACGAAATGGCCAACAGCTTGAGGCCTGATGCTTGTCTACCTGAGAAGCAATCAGTTAACAGCAAGAGCGTTAGCTCAAATCACGTTTAATCGCTACACCTGAAATAATCTGGTCACTGCTGCATATATGCATGCACTATCTTGTTTGCCAGGACAATAAAGCAACAGAATGAAAATCGAATGGAAGCTGTGGAATGAGCAGAGGGAAGAGGAAGAGGGAGCAGCAAGAAAATTTCAGAAGCAATTTTGTGTATGAATTCGTCTCGGAAGCTTTTCTGACGCAAAGTATATTCCAATGCTGGCCTAACTCTCTTGGCCTTTGCTATTAAGAACTGGCCAAAACTCTGCTTTCTTCAGGGTCCTTTGGGTCCTTTCATTTAATGATGCCGCTGTGACGTCATCAAGCCCAACTTACGCTAATTAAAATTCCCATTTAATTGGCATTGACTGTTGTTTGTCTTCCTTCGGCGTATATTCATTTCGTGTTGTTTTTTTTTTTTTTTGCTTTTAATTTTTACGTGAATGTTTATTCAATAAAAATAAGCTGCATGGATGACAGGAGAGTTGACCAATTGCACAGCAGTTACAGCAGCAGCAGGAGCCGGCAGCTGGAGCAGGCAGCAGGAGCCGGCAGCAGGAGCAGGCAGCTGGAGCAGAAGTTGCCATAGAAGAGAAAACTGTCATCGAGGCGAATGGGAATGAACCACTGAAATCAATTTAAATGGCATCATTCAACGACTTCAACCACACACACACACATATGCATGCATGCACACACTCACAGACACACACAGAGAGTGAGAGACAAAGACATGCGAACGAACACATTGACAGTTTATTAACTGTTCGAAATATTTGTAACGCAGCCCACCCACGTTTGAGGTCTGGAATATCGGCCATTACATCGACCCATTAATTAGTTGGCATTGAGTTGCAGCTGCTGACAGCCTCAATGACAACAACGACGACGACAACGGCAACGGCAACGACAACGACAACGGAATACCCTTATTCCCCAAGGGGGAGGCTGACAACTCCAGTCCCTGCTGAAGGACCACACAGCATCGCCTTCAGTCAACGTCAAGCAAAGAGAATGAGAGAGCGAGAGCGAGATAGAGTGAGAGAGTGAAGTGAAAAAAGCAAACATCTTCGTCAACTACAGTCGCTGTACTTGATTTGCCCTCAGCCTCTCCCTCCCCTTCTCTCACTCTCTTGCGCTCACTGTCTTTTTCTTATCTCCTTTTCACTTGACATTCATGCCAGCGCATCGGAATTTATGATAATCACGTTAATTAATGTTAAATTTATAATTTAACTGAATAATTTGTCAGCCGCGTTATTTTGCTCTTCTTTTTTATTTGTGTTTCTTTCTGATTAAATGATTTACGCAATTTTAATCACATCACAAATTTCAGATTAGCCCATTGATTTTAGCTGAGAGATCTCCATAAGATTAGTTAAGGGTAAGGGATTAAGAGTACCTTCTGAGAGCAAAATGTTGAGTCCGAGCTACGTGTAGCTCGCTTTCTGCCTATCTGTCTGTCTTTAATGTCTTAAGCATATACTTCTTGAGTTAAAAACAAAATATACCCAAAGGAGCTACAATAAATGTGTTAAAAACAATATTACAAATTTGTTAAGGTGTTAAAATATTTAATATAGACAGCAAAAGTTTCTCTAGAAAAAAAATGTTTATATGTTAAATGTTTAAAGCTCTTTAAATGTGTTAAATAATATTAAATTAGAATTAATATATATATTAAACATTTGTTTAAATAAATTATAAAATAATAATAAAATAATAAAAAAGTAGCTGGAGAAAATCGAGAGCCCATAAAGCCTAAGGGCAGTTCTATTGGCAGTTTCATAAACATTTTATAAAAATGAATATAAATTCAAAATTTTACATTTTCTTCTAAATCAAAGTTCATCTGGCTTTGCACTGCTCTTCAGCCCAAAAATAAAAAGACGAAAAAAAGAAGCGAATCACATTTAATTTAGTGTAAATCAAAACGCGTCTCTATTTATGGGCCGATGAAATTTCAGCTCAGGCGTAATGCAATAAAACGTAATGTTCGGAGCGCAAGGGAGAGGAGCAGGAAGCGCACCTGTTGGGTGTCTAGCAGGTGTGATCGACAGAGACTCCAGACAATGCCGCAAACAATGCCAGAACAAGACGTAAACGGCACCCGCAGCAAAAGCTGCCCCAAATGGTGTGTGGCAGGATGGAGGAGGTGTGGGGGAGGTGGAGGCAGCTGTGAAAAGTGAAATGCGCGACGAGGCACAAAGAAACAAACAGGTGCTAATCGAAATATAATGTTTCAGCAGCGGTCGCACATAAAAAATGATACGCCAATAAAATTTAATAATTTAAAAATGAAACAACAACAACAACAATAACAACAACAACAACTGCAGCAAAGAGGAAACGCCGCGTAAAGCCGGAAAAACATAATAAAAAATTCATGAGCTTTACGAGAATCGCATAGCAAGGCCAGCAGCTGAAGAAAAAGAAGAAGAAGCAGCAGCAGCAGCAGTAGAGAAGTAGAAGAAGCTGAAACAAAAAGTGCAAATAATGAATGACGGACGCTCCAACAAGAGTGGGTGTTGAAAGAGAAAGAAAGAGAGAGAGAGAGAGAGTGTGAGTGTGAGAGTGAATTGTCGTCGACAGCAGAATGACATAAAAATGAATCGTTTTGCCTACTTAAAGGCGCATAAAAAGCAATTTCCGCCTTTAAAGCCATAAAACACGCGCAGCCAACTGCAAAGGTAAGCAAAGCACGCTTATTGATTCGACTTGGCCCAGACCCACCTGACCAGCTGGCAGAGAAGCACTTTCTCTTGGCTCTTTGGGTGTTGGCTCTTGGCTCTTGGCTCCAGCTAGCCGGGCCAGCTGAGTGGGCTGACTGGCTGGCATACAAAGCACTTAAGAAAACAACAAATATTTAGTGTCGCAATGATAATTACAATGACAACAGGCGGGAGGATTTGAGCAGTGGTTGGGCTGACACCATATACAGATATCTTACACAGAAGTATATCTATATGCATATATACACTTACATACATATATGTAGCATATATAAACATATATCCTTGATATATATGTATGTGTATGTCTTTGTATTTACACACATTTTGTGTTTACCTTTGCATGACCAGTCCGTCACTTTGACAATCATAATGAGGCAAGCAGCACAGACCACCGGCTACAACAGCAACAGCAACAACA